CCTGCTGACAGAAACAGTGATTCAGCTGCCCACGGGTGTGCAAGCACCGCCTGTGCTCCGTTATCCACTGTGTCACAGCCGGCTTTTACCTATTCCCAGGTATTCACAACGTGCGGTACCTCCAGCACCTCATTCCGTGCTTAGATTTCTCATTGCTATCAGGGCGGGCACATGGCTTTTTAACATTATAACAGGGTTTCCTCTCTCCCCACCGCGTGGCTTGCAGACAGGCGCACACCTGAGGAGATCCGAAGTGGGGTGACAACAGCAGCGTTGCTACACCGGCACAAGCTCCTAATGCAGATGTGCTGCCCCGGCGCTGGCACCAGGCCAGCGGCCGCCTGAACTGTGCCAGGATCCAGGTCAGCGACCACTTAGAAACACGTTGCACCCTGCTTAGAAGATGTGTCCCTGGAGTCATATCCTTGTGCAAGGGTGACGAGAGAATCTAACCCAAAATGGTGTGTCACGTGGGCGCATCGTCTGAACTACTGGCGTTGCCAAGAGTGAAGTGCTCCGAATCGGTGTCCTTACTGGACAACACATCACTTTTTTATAAGCAGTAGTTAGGAACCAGGAAAGACTTCCATATAGTGACTCCAGATCTAGATTTATTAGCTCCCCTCGACACCCTCCCTCCCCCAATGGTTTTCATTTTCTCAGTTGTTCCGTTGGACTATTTCCCATACCGTGTAGTGCGAAGGTGGCCCAGTTGTGTAACCCTGAGGTAAAAGCTGACCATTGAGCTCTACAAGGTGGCTCATGCTCATTCCCTTCTTTAAGTGGCAAGGTGGCCACGGAAGACTACAGCTCCCAGCATGCAACGCTCCATTGTAAGCTAAATGGCCAAGATTTCAGTGCACCTTGGACAGCCACGCATTTAAAAAAAAAAAAAAACCAAAGGAGGCTGCAAGTCTGAAATCTGGTGCCAGCCCCCGGGAGCGCTGAGAACCCCTGGACGCAGGAACGTATAAAGGATGCAAAAACAACGCCCGGTGCCTGTTGTGGCACCGTGTGCTCTGCTGCGTCCTTTCCTGAAGGGCTTGGTGAAACACTCCAAACGTAGCTGCGGTAGCAGATCAGATGCTCCCATCCTCCCCCATCCCTGGTGGCCTGGCTACTCACTGTTGTTCTGCTTTGGCGCGGTCGCTGAGGAAGAAGAGGGCCGTGGCCAGGAAAAACATCCCTCCGAGGACGACGACCAAGGGGCAGAGCATGAGTGCGTAGCCCAGGCTGAGGAACTCCCAGAGCGGGGACTCCTTTGTGCTTTGTTGTATCAGGTCTGAGATCTAAGAGAGAAGGGCACAAAAACCCAACCAACAACGTTACTCAAAGTGCAAGGCTCGGCGTGCTGCAGAAATGGATTATCATTCCCCGCAAGGGGACAGCTTCCCTGAGACAGCTGCCCGCTGCACACGTGGGCTGAGCTTTCAGTTGGGAATGTCTGTGTGTTAAATATTGTGTCCCCTCCATGGGTTTTAAGACACTTACTCTGTACACACCATTCGTCTCTGTTCAGGAGACCTCGGTTCATTTGCAGAGAGGGGTTTATGAAGCGTTCTCTTTTCCTTACCTCTTTTGACCTGCTGCCTCATTATTCCCACACTCCTCTCCCTTTGTCCTCCCCCCTCCCTCTCCACACTGCTTTGGCATCTGACTGTGTGCTAACCAAGACTATTAATGAGTCTGCACCGCAACATGGGGAAATATGACCCTGCTGCAGTGTTCCCTGTAAGCTGTGAACTCAAGAGCGATTCCAATGCCACCCAGTTGTTTAGCAGAACACCCGCAGGTAGGTTTTTGGTTTCTACTGATGGTGCACATTTGCACATGCTTTGGTGCACATAGAAAAATGTATTCTGCACATGGGTAGGGTTGCCAGGTGTCTTGTTTTTGCCTGGACAGTCCTGCAATTGCGTCTTCTGTTTGGTAAAAAACCTCTGGAAAATACTGGACAGAAGGCTGCCATGTTTGGGATTTTTGAGCAATTGCATCTTCTGTTTGGTAAAAAACCTCCGGAAAATACTGGACGGAAGGCTGCCATGTTTGGGATTTTTGAGATTTTTTGTGAAAGTACCTGGCAACCCTACACATGGGTGAAAAAAATTAGAGGGACCATTGCCCTCAAGCAATGTCTATAAGGGCTGGTTATACCTACCATCTAACAGCAGGTGCATTGAATTCCGTGCAACTTAACTCTGTATGTTTGTTGCGGGGGGAGGGCTTCAATGTCAAAGCTTTTCAAGGACCACACATTCGTCTGAGGAGAGACCCCTGTCCTCTTCGCTTTCTGTTCTATCGCGTGCCCGTTATTTGTCTTGCAATCATGCCTAGGGGATCCCAGTCCTGGAGCAAGGACCCAGTGTGCTACATGCTGCAACAAACACCGAACAAAGAGCCTTGCCCGAACAACTTCCAGGCATAGCAGCTGTTTCCTTCTGCCAAAGAAGAGGCATGACTTAAATGTGGGGGGGAAGGGAGAAGGTGTGCTAATGTAATTGCCACTAGGTGGATTTGAACCTGGGCCCCCTGGAGCTTAGTGTAGGAGCGTTTGAGCTAAAAGCCAGCTGGTGCTCAGCTTAGGCTGTAGGGCTCCCTTGTTCTTATCTCTCGTGGTAAGTGGTCTAAGTGCCACTCCATGGGACAGTGACCCACACCCTCTAGGTGCATGGGTTACGCTAGTAGCCTGGAACATGGGGCCTGGTGTCAGGTCTGAGGCCTGAGCCAAAAATTGCGAACTAAAATCAGGCCCTGCAGCCACATAAGCATCTAGTAGGTGAACTGGGCAAAGTTGTTGCTAGTTGATTAGGAACTAGATATTTATGCCAACATGCTCCAGTGAGTACAGATACCTCCTGAGCTATTACAAGATAAGTTGGTTTGACAAAACAATGAACAGGGATGTTTTGCCCAAAATAGCAGGACCACGGAGAGGCAAACAGGTGCCATGAAACACGTAAAGTGGAACGTACGATGTTTATCCCAGTTGTTTGTTTCAGTCGGGGTGTCTCGCCTTAACCCTTTGTGTGCCTGAGGAAACTGCAGAAACTTCCGCTGCTGACTGGACCACTCCTTGCCACAGAGCACTCATCTGTCAGTATTCCTGTAACCCCGGAGCCGAGGTACTAGAACTGCCTTGGGGGCAATAACCCTGGTTGAGTGCCTTTGTTGCTGAACCATGCCTGTATCTTTCTTTATGAGCTAACCACGAGATCTGCTGTATGAGCAAGCTGCACTATCGGCTGTGAGTGCCGATTACACTGGCGCTCCAAGGACAAAAGCACTGAGTGGCATTACCGTGCCAACGACATTCCCGCCTTCGACACTTCGGCTACGTCTATACTGCCGCCTTCTTCTGCAAATGCTTATGCAAATGAAGCGTGGAGTAGAAGATTGCCATGCTTCATTTGCATAATTAATGAGCAGCCGTTTTTGCACAAGAGGCTTTTGCGCCAATAAAAAAAAAGAGCAGTGTAGATGACTCCTTTTTGGACAAAACCCTCCTCTTGTGCAAGAGCTGGTCTTCCTCATTTTTTTAGGAAGAACAGCTCTTGCGCAAGAGGGGGGTTTGTTGCAAAAAGGAGCCATCTACACTGCTCTTTTTTGCGCAAAAACGGCTGTTCATTCATTATGCAAATGAAACACGGCGATATTCTACTCATAGTCTTCATTTGCATAAGCTTTTGCAGAAGAAGGCTGCAGTATCGACGTTGCCTTCATGGAAGTGAGGATATGACAGTGGACATGTCTCATGGGTGACAGAAATATAACAGAGTGGCATTATTTATTCCAATCTTCTGGAAAGCTTGGTGGCTAAAATGTAGTTTATGTAACATATTTAGGCAAAGCATTAATCATATCTTAGCATTTGCTGGTCAATGATCTAATAAAAATCAGCTTCTAACATGGCACGCGCTGTAACAGCGATGCTCCACTAGAAATGGATATTTAAATGTCAGTGCCGATACTGCAGCTTTTTTTGCTGATGCTGCTGGCAAGAAGACAACTAGCGCCAAGCACAGCAGGGATGCTGTACTGCAGACTCCTCCTGAAACCTGTACTGAGGCCCATTAGACGCTTTCCAAACTAGCCGCGCATGTACTAGCCTTTAAAAAGCCGACATTTCAAGTCTAGGAACAGCGAAAGGTTGTGCAGGGAGATTTCCCTCTCCTCCCCCGACTCTGAATAGCTTCATCTAATGAAGCAGGATCCTCTGTGATAAGAGCAGCAGGTTTCAAGCACAACCCAACAGAAATAAATGACATTTAAGTTTGAGATTTAAAGACACCAACTAATTCGAGTGGGAGAAAATCTTATACCCCCGAGCGAATCCCTGACTCGCAGCCCTAAAGCCAAACACAGTGAGGCAGCGGGTAAGAACCATTATAAGAAGCACCGTAGCAGAGAAAACAATTCAAAAGAAAAGGTTCTAGGACTATAAGATATACGGGGACTTCACTGAAACTGCAGCACAAAGTGCTATAAAGGGCTTGTCGTAAGACACCCTCTATATGAACGGGACAGCAGCATTGGTTTCAGGTTCTTAATATTCATCATATTCCTATTACCACTCCGATGGGGACATACGAACTATGGTGAAACGTGTCAAGAAATATACCAAGGGGCAATGGGGCCAGACGCAGGCAATGTCAAATCCAATGAGACCTGGAATAAGGCACTTTTGAGACTTTTTTACACTGGGAAATTAATTCAGATTACGATTGAGTGTGAATTTAAAGATTAAAGAAGAGTGTGAATATAATTCCAAAATAATCCTCTTCCACAATGGATTAAATTAACTTGGCAATAGGCACATTTGTTCCAGAATAAGAGCACCTACAGAGGGAATTCATCTGGAACAGCAATTCTGGAATAACAAGCACTTACCCCAAAACCAGAGCACGAATCTGCTTTAGATTATCATACCCCACCCCATTCCATTCCAGATTAACTTTCATGTGTAGCTAACCCCCTAAATAGCTCTCAGTAGACCTAGTCTGTACACAATTCTGCCATGTAGTGACCTTCCATCTGTATTTAAGACTATTCATGTGAATGGCTAAGAACCAGAAAGTGCTTCAAAAATTAATCCGCAATGAGACCACTTCAAACCAGGCCAAAAGGCCTGAGAAACCTACAGTTCCAATTATAATTTCCATTAACGTCGTATCCCAAACGCTGCATTTACTCTGATTTTCCTTTCCTATGTTGCTGATCTAGTGCTGCTCTATCTTGGTACAACTCAGCACCCGTGATAATTAACACTGTTCTGTTGACTACTTGTTAAAGGAAAGTCATTAGCATTTGTGCTATTTAAGTAGCTCATTAGATTCAGCTTATCAGCCCACTCAAATAATGGACTTGGGGCACAGGTGGGAGGTGAGAAGTGACGGGTTTATGGCTAAAATTTTTCCAGGAACTATTAAGAATCACACAAAGCTCTTTTAAAGTAACAAAACAGTCCGGCTTTGCCTAGAATTGATTGTTTGGTGACCAATGTTCCTATTCATCTTTTTTCATCCGGAGGCGAATTCTTTTCATCCATGCATGGAATAATGTTATGTGCACCAATGCACATGTGAATGTGCACCACCAGGACAAACAAAAAGCCTAGCTGTGGGCACTCTGCTGAACAGCTGGGCAGCATTTCAATCTCTCCTGGGTAGCCCTAAAAGCGCACAGCTTTCAGGGAACACTGCAGACAACCTACATTTTAGTCACTGCGACCCTCTGTTTTGGGGCAAGATGGGTTAATAGGGCAATGAATCTGCTGCAGTCCCCTTCCAGCCAGGTAATCAAAGCTCCTGTCTTGGAAACGAACACACATCCGGTGCCAGATTGCCAGGCCCTGGGCTCCAAAATGAGGACGTGTATAGAGCACCGGGGCTGAAATGACGTCAGCAGCAGGAACACTTCACACTACCCAAGCTGTTCCAACTGGGCGAAGAGAAGGGAAGGGCAGTCTCCGGGAGAGGGCAGAGGTGGGATTAGGAGATACTGAAGCTTGTGTCAACGCATGGAATTTCCTTGGCAGCTCAAAGGCAAGTGTCTGCTACAAACCGCTAGTCACTGTCACTGCTAGGCCTGGAAGCAGAAGTGAGGACGAAGGAGGAAAACACGGGTTGTGCTCGGATAGTGACTGACGGCACCAGGAGCGTTCCAAAACACACTTGCGTTTCCTGACCTGAAGGATTATGTCAGGAGACCAAGGAAAACTGCTGTTCATGTATGGAAATCTGGTAAAACCACCCCCTGAAAACAGGCTTATCTGTGTGTAACCACCATGGGGCAGATTTGAACTGTGGACCTCTAGGCTATGTCTACACTAGCGGCTTCTTGCATGAGAAATATGCAAATGAGGCTAAGCGTGGAATATCGCCGAGCCTCATTTGCATACCTAATGAGCCACCATTTTTGCAGAAGAGGCTCTTGCACCAGAAGGAGCGTCTACACTGCCCCTTCTTGAGCAAGAAAAACCCTCTTGCGCAATGCCCTTATTCCTGAAAATAATCAGCGTAGCGGCATTGCACAAGAGGGTTTTTCTTGCTCAAGAAGGGGCAGTGTAGATAGCTCCTTCTGGCGTAAGAGCCTCGTCTGCAAAAATGACGGCTCATTAGGTATGCAAACGAGGCTCAGCGATATTCCACGCTTAGCCTCATTTGCATATTTCTCGCACAAGAAGCCACTAGTGTAGACATAGCCCTAGGCTGCGTCTAGACTGGCATGATTTTGCGGAAATACTTTTAATGGAAAAGCTTTTCCATTAAAAGTATTTCCGCAAAATCATGCCAGTCTAGACGCAGCCTAGGGCTATGTCTACACTAGTGGCTTCTTGTGCGAGAAATATGCAAATGAGGCTAAGCGTGGAATATCGCTGAGCCTCGTTTGCATACCTAATGAGCCGTCATTTTTGCAGACGAGGCTCTTACGCCAGAAGGAGCTATCTACACTGCCCCTTCTTGAGCAAGAAAAACCCTCTTGGCAGTGATTTTGTACATTACAAAGTCAGTGCTCTTGCGCAAATTCAAGTGGCCAGTGTAGACAGCTGGCAAGTTTTTGCCAGTCTAGACGCACCCCTAGAGTTTAGCATAGGAGCCTCTACCACTTGAGCTGTAAAGCCAGCTGGCTCTCACCTTAGGCTCTAGAGCTCCCTTGTGCTTAACTCTCACTGTATGTGGTCTAAATGCCACCACATGGGACAGTCAGCCACACTAGGTGCGTGGGTTACATATGTGCGCACAAACCTAGAAACACTTCTTATTCGTCCCAATAATAGATCTGTAGACGGCAGAGACGTGGATGGGAAGAGCTAAGAAAAAAAGGCACTTTGGGGGAAATACGCTGCCATGCTCTGGCACATGAGGAGTTAACTATGTACCAGCTTTGACCCTCAATGAACATCCACGCAACTTTACTAGACTCACAACAATGCAGCCTAGGGGACAGAGCACAGGTTTCCCTGTTTTATACCAGACACTACTGCTGGCTCTCTGGACAAGCTAGTTAGCTGGCGCTGTGCCTCAGTTTGCCATCCCATCTGTAGAATGGGTCTCTCTCCTTTGCAAAGTGCTTTAGTGCACATCAGCAGCAAAGGGGGGATCCTCAGGGGCTTCCTGGGGGCTGACCAGGGTCTACATATGCTGTTCAACAGGACTGTGGTGTCAATTTTGGCAAGTTACTGCAAAGTTCTTTAAAAAGACAATTGTGGCTATCATGAAACAGAAAGTAGCTCACCCCTGGGCTAGGTCTACACTGTGGTTTTTTGGGTGGAAGAGGATATGCAAATGAATGCTCATTTGCATATCTTCTTCTGATTCTTTTTGCGGAAGAGATTTTTGCTGCTAAAAAGCCCCGCATAGACGGGCCATTTGTCCGAAAAAAACCCTTTTCCGCAAGATCCTGTAAACCTCGATTTTTGAGGAATACGTACGAATGAACGCATTTGGACTTGGATTATTAGGCTGTATTAGGAGGAGCATTGCCAAGCAGGTCTAGAGAAGTGATTGTTCCCCTTCATTCGGCTCTGGGGAGGCCACATCTGGAGTATTAAGTCCAGGTCTGGGGCCCCCACTGTAGAAAGGATGTGGACACAGTGGAGAGGATCCAGCGGAGGGCGACCAAAATGAATAGAGGGTTGGAGCACATGACCTATGAGGAGAGGCTGAGGGATATGAGCTTGTTTCGTCTGCAGAAGAGAAGAGTGAGGGGGGATTTGACAGCAGCCCTCAAGTTCCTGAAGGGAGGTTCCAAAGAGGATGGACAGAGGCTGTTCTCAGTAGTGACAGATGGCAGAACAAGGAGCCATGGTCTCAAATTACAGCGGGGGAGGTCTAGGTTGGATATTAGGAAAAACTATTGCCCTAGGAGGGTGGTGAAGCACTGGGATGGGTTCCCTAGGGAGGGGGTGGAATCTCCATCCCTAGAGGTTTTTAAGTCTCAGCTTGACAAAGCCCTGGCTGGGCGGATTTAGTTGGGGTTGGTCCTGCTTTGGGCAGGGGGCTGGACTCCTGAGGTCTCTTCCAGCCCTAGGATTCTATGATTCTTGCATTGGTGCTCCCCACATGGGCCCAGTTCTGTTGGTAAGCACTGAGCAGTTTAATGTGGCACCTTGTTCCCAGCACTAAGTTAGTACAGGCAGTCCCCGGGTTACGTACAAGATAGGGACTGTAGGTTTGTTCTTAAGTTGAATTTGTATGTAAGTCGGAACTGGTACATATTGTAGGGGAAACTCTAGCCAAACATTTCTCCAGAGCTCAGTTTTATTCTCCCACACCTCACTTCCCTCAGTCCTTTATTCTCAAACTGAGGTGTCTGCTGAGAAAAGCCGCTCCGCGTCTGCCTGGTCTGCTGGGGGGGGGGGGGGCGCTAGCTTCCCGTCTCCCTGGTCTTCTGGGGGGAAGCAGCTAGTGCGGGGTTGCCTCACTCCGTTTGTAAGTAGGGATCCGATGTAAGTCGGATTCATGTAACCTGAGGACTGCCTGTACATACGTGTATGCACGTACCACACACACACTCACACCCTGCCCATACCCCCGCCATGCACTTACGAATCCAATCAGGTAGGGGCTGCCGGCATCTCCCAGCAGGTGCGAAGTGAAGCTCTGCAAGGCCACGGCGGTCGCCCGTCGTGTCGGGATAACCACGTACTGCAAGGGAGAGGAGGAAAACACATGAGGGAAGTGGAAGAACTAACCTGTGTGGCAGATCCAGGCTGCGTGCTCGTGTTGTCAGAGAGAACGGGAACCCCCCCTCGCTTTCAGTGACAAGGGTGGAGGAGACTTTGTTCCCAGGCAGTTCTGGGCAGCTCTGGAGCATTGCTAGCCCCATTGCATTTCCAGTGCTCCAGTCTGCAGAGGATTGGCACAGCCTGGCCAGGCCACTGAGCAAAGCGGGCAGGGGTTTGCTCCACGCTCCTGGTTTGCTCCACTGCGCAGCGCTCCAATGGCAATTTAAAGAGCCTGGAGCTCTGGGCGTCCCTACGGCTGCTCCCTTTTGAATAGCCAGGCCTGGGGCAGTTGCCCCTTTTATCCCCTCTGGCAGCAGGCCTGCTCTCACTCATTACAACGCATCTAAAACACAAGTGTAAGATTTTGGGGGGAGCTGGGGCCATGTTTAACATTTGCATAAGCAATGCCTAACACAGCAGGGGCCAATGGACAAACACCACACAATGTAGCTATTTGTGGTTTTAAACTATAACCTTTGATTCACGGTATAAAGAGTAATACACTCCCAGCGCTAACTCTATTAAATTCTTAGCAGTATTTTGCTTGGGAGCGTTGATTAAGATCACAAAAGACAATGGTGACTCTTTAGGGAAGGTGCTTGGAAAAAAGTCTGTTGTGGAGTCTGAAAAACACGTGTCCAGGTACCACTGCACTCCTGGGACAGGACACGACTCCCCGTCACTCTGTTTGCTTAACACCATCAACATCACGCAGCACGGCCAATGGAGCACATGAATGGCATTTCCCTGTTCTGATGTTGGCGTGCATGGAAAACAGAGGAAGGCAAAAGCATGATTAAAATCTATGAGGTCAGCAGGGACCATTTTGATGATCTCGTCTGACCGCCTGCCTAACCTACCCACAGTGCATTGCTCACACGGGCGATGAGGGCGCCTGCTGCGTGGCCATGATCTCTGGACAGAGGAAGTGAGCATGAACACCCTCTGGCGATTTTTGTTCTGTCGACTTTCAGGCCCGGGCATCAGTTCTGTTGACAAAACTTGGCCATGGAGACGTACCCTGAGCAGCCGTTTGCGATCTGCCATTGTTTTTCTAGACCTGCCCTCAGCATTGTAGCTCTTTTCTGAATCCTCTCCTAGGCTGTGTCTACACTGGGCTACTTATTCCGGAAAATCAGCCGCTTTTCCGGAATAAGCTGCGAGCTGTCTACACTGGCCCTTGAATTTCCGGAAAAGCAACGATGCTCTACTGTACAAAATCAGCTGCTATTCCGGAAAAACTATTCTGCTCCTGCTCGAGCATAAGTCCTTATTCCGGAACACTGTTCCGGAAAAGGGCCAGTGTAGACAGCCCAGTAGTCTTTTCCGGAAAAAAGCCCCGATCACGAAAATGACGATCGGGGCTCTTTTCCGGAAAAGCACGTCTACATTGGCCACAGATGCTTTTCCGGAAAAAGGGCTTTTCCGGAAAAGCAGCCTGCCAATGTAGACGCTCTTTTTCCGGAAATACTTATAACGAAAACTATTCTGTTTTAAGCATTTCCGGAAATTCATGCCAGTGTAGACACAGCCCTAGCGTGCTTCATTTGCTGATGTAACCCCCATCCTGGAGCTACCCCAGGAACCGCTTTGCCTCTGTGTCACTAATTTATTTACCGTGGGGTTCAGAGAGCCATTTGTTCTACAGTAACACGCCCCTCTCTCTTAGACAGAAGGGGGCTGCTTTTGGCCAATGAAGCATCATTTCCTCCTAAGGTGCGACAGGGCAGTCACTGTCTCTCTGGGGTCTAAAGGGCTAGTCACGTGACTGTCTCCACAGAGGAGCAGCGCGCAGAGCAACCAGGCGCCACGCGGGACGTGTCCGAACATGTGCATGCGATTTCATGTTGATAGAGAAAATGGGACTTGGGCACTTGGGCAAATTTGACCCCGTTTCTGGAGATTTTTTGCCTGTGGTTTCTCAGGAACACCTGGGTTGTCCCTGCCAGGGGGGGATGGAGCTGCAGATGTAACCGGCGTGCACGGATGCAGTGTGCTACTCAGACACTGCCTGCTACATTCTTGAGGCGCAGCAGCACTCCGCCAAAACAAGGCAAAGCTTCATCCACTCCCCTGATGACAATGATAACACGCAGCCTTCCCCAGTGCCTGCCAGCCAGGAGTCAAACACACAGAGCTCCCGGGCGGAGAGAAGT